GACGCCACCGCAAGGTGGCGGTTCAGCCGAATACAATTCCATGCTCTTCATGGTGTCTAACCAATCATTAATTAGCGCGCAGATAATATTTAGATTATGCCTCGGAGTTGTAGTCCGGGCATTGAGAAATAAATGAGAGTATTTTTAAAATTGTTTTTGGGTCACAGAACTTCCGCATAATCTTCCGGATATTTTCCGAAGATCTTCACAGTGAGATTTTTTTTCTCGCCGGGCGCACGGCACGCGAAGAATAAATATAACTCTCAAACACGAGTCGATGAGTTTTTTTTTATTCGGTAGTCACCTGCGGTTAGCGTTACCTGTTGAGTACATTCTGCAGGTACAAATATCCCGGACGGATGTCTCACTGGACAAATGTCAGTCAACTCTTTCACTTACACTTAGAGGGACCTGTCAATCTTCATCCGCTGTTGGTCATCAAGAACCTGCGTCATCCAGAATGTACAAAAGCCAGTCTGACCTGCTCTAAGATAGCCGAAGCTACTGGAATTCTCGACCTGCTCGTTAATCATCATTGCTGTATACACAAAATAGATACAATCGTGGGCTCAGACCTGAAATTTATACAGTTTCAACCGAGAGAGAGGCTCTAAATAAATTGATTTTGGATTGAATCTAGACACCTTTTCATTCGATGGGACAGCATTTGTCGGTCGTCGAGAATAATATCTCAGAGGAATCAATTAATTAGAAAGCCGCGGGAAAAAAATCTTAGATCAACTCAGGCAATTTTCCTTTTCAGATTAATCAAGGACTAATCAATAACTATACCCTGCGTTCCTCTGAACCCAACGCGTAATTACTCCATATTTTTTATTTAAAAAATTAGTCTTTAATATGATTATTCTCATTTTGGTAATTCTTTGTTTTAATTAATAATTATGCATTAATTAGGAATATCTCGAATAATCTATTGAGTCCTGCGTAATATTTTCGCTTGTCGAAGATCTTTCCGATGAAGATATAAACATTAAGAAATTATGAGTTTCTCAACGTGCAGTTATATAATTCATGTGATCAATATTTTTCTCTCTTATTTTCCAATAAATTACTGTTTATTG